GATGTTTGACCACCCTCACAGTAAAAAAGGTTTTCCTTACGTTTAAATGGAATTTCCTGTGTTTCAGTTTGTGCCCCTGTCCTGCCATCAGGTACCAGCACGAAGACTCTGGCTCTTTGTTTACTCCATCCCATCAGGTATCTATATACATCGGTGAGATCCCCCTGCAGCCTCCTCTTCTCCGGGATGAGCAACCCCAGCTCTCTCAGCCTCTCCGCGCACAGCAGAATTCCTCACACAATCCTTAACGGGCGCCCTGGGGTCACGGTTACCACAGAACACCAACTTCACTGTGAGTTTGTCTTTTGAGTATTTAAAGGATATCAGAGAAAACTAAAACTAACCTGACATAATGTAAACTTAAAGGAACTCCTGCGCAGGAACTAAAGGAACACTGGTGTCGCTGGAAGAATAGTCAGGTGAGGATGTCACGGATCGTGCCAAGATAACGCCTAGCCAGCATCCTTGGAGCTTTCTTTCCGCTGCCCATTCCCCTTCCTATCCACTCATGACGCCATCACGCGTTCCTCTGTGACCCGGTGCCAGTTCCACCACTGTTAGGGACTCCTTTCCAACCGTTTGCCAACAGAAAGTCTTGAGCAACTTCTGGCAAATTCTGGAAATACCTTTCCAGTGCTCCTTCAGGCAGACGATTCGCTTCTGTTTATCTTGGTAGTAGTTCCCTGATCTCTGTTCTCCCGTTGCCATTCCCCGTCTTCAGGAGCTAATCCTGAACTTGGTGAACACCTCACTCACCCGGGGCCGCTCCGTTCCCAGGAATCCCAGGGCCCCTGGGCCACGCGCCTATCCAGCCGGCTGTCGCTCCGGATTTATGCGGGCGTTCCTCAGATCACCCGGCCAGCCCTTCTGCAAGGGAAGCTGACCTCCAGCAGGCGCTGGTCTGGCCTGGAACCACCCAACGAACTGCATTTGGGAGAAAATGCAGCTTAAAAACGCCCCCCTCCTCGTGATCCCCATCTCTTTCACCGGGAAGCATTTTCACAGGGATGAGCCGGGATTCCGGCTCCCCGCGGGGCCATGCCGTTGGAAGGGCAAGGCCCCAGCGGTGCTACAGGGACAGGCGGCCCGGCGGCGGGCACAGCTCCTTCACCGGCTCCCCGGAGGGGCACC